ACACACACACACACACACACATACCCACACAGACACCCACAGAAAGTCATCCAACTTCAGACTGGATCATTGTAAACAGACTCTCCGCTTCCAGGCCCTCATGGTTATGCAAGAGCTTTATTTTGAAGGCTGTCATGTGACATTTGGTTGTGGCATGTCTCTGTTCTTGGAGGCAGTGTGTGTGTATGTGTGTGACTTAAATCTGTGTGGGAAACAAACTGCTTTGGTCTACCTGACAACCCAGTGTTTGTACATAATGAGAAGGCAGACTTTGTTGTGGTTAGATGAGATCAGCTGTTCTGTGACTTAAGCATTGCCAGGTCCCATTTACTGATATTATTCAACTGTTATTCTCTTTTACGAGTGGGATGGACATTGAGTGATACAAATTATAGCTTATTTTCCTAAATATAATAATCATGAAGTGGAAATCTGCTGGGAAAATAAAACTGGAAAGACAATGCAACATTTTTTTTATGATCCTGGTCTCCAGTCACCAGATTACAAACAAAGGCCTGACGCAAACGATTATGTAAAAACTGAAAATAATTAAAACATTTAGTCAAAATGTAATATAAAAAATGTGCCCCTGAATCAAATCAGGCCTATTAATGAACCATGTAATAACACCTCACAAACATTTAGAAATTAAGAGGACGGTGGTACGAACTTGCACCACTGCTGAAACCCTTTAACATCTGTGTAGCACCAACATGAAAGCTCAACTGTCTGCTGCCTACATCATTATGTGAAATCAGGCCCTAAAATCTTTGTGGTATTTGTTCAAAATGGTTTCCAAAGCTCTTATAATGTGTCTTAACCATGTCATTATATCATGTTGTTCAAGTTTTGTACTTGTTTTGAATGACATACTGTGTGTTGCCATGGCTGTCTATTGGTTGTTTTTAGTCGTTGCCAGATTTATAATTGTGAAAAAAGTGGCACCAAAACAGTTCAAAACCACTAGTTAATCTAATAATGAGCAAAGATATTTAATTATCCAGCAATTTATTACAACGTGGTTCTACTAAACACCAACTGGACAGGTGTTTTATTATAATGTTGGTACTCACACATGAACAAACCAACAAGTAACCTACAATATTTTTATGTTTAGCTTCTTATTGTGAAATGTTACAGTCACAAGTGCACGCATACACACAAAAGGAAAGCTGCCAGTACCCAAGGCAATGGTCTGAGGCTCAGTTCCAGCTCATTTTATAATTTTATAGCCTCTCTCTCTGTCTCAGTGTGCATGTGCGTGTGTGAGTGTGTTACGTAACATTAAGAGGGGCCAGAGTGACATCAGTGCTGACTCTTAACGAGCAGAGCTGAAATACAATCTCCACTTTCCTAACAAGCTGTAAACCTAATCAATGTGTGTGTAGACAGCTGCTCTATGTGTGTGTGTGTGTTTGTGTGTGTGTGTTTTCAAAAAAGAGACAACGGTTAACAGAAAGTGAAGAAAAAGAAGGTTAGAGGGGGTGACAGATGGGGAGGAGGAGAGAAAAACACTAACAGATTAATTATCTCACATAAAGTGACAGGAAGAAAAACAAAACCTCACAGAGGATTACGACATCTGAAGCACCTCCTGCTGATTAATCTGACTGGAAAGCTGATTTTGGCATTTGTGCATGTACAGCTAATTTTAAATGCAGCAGTTTGAGCCACAGATCTTGGACCTTTAACATCAGTGAAAAGTGAAATCCTCCTCACTGGTTAAGCATTTTTCTTTGGATTGATTTACATTAAATCCCTAGAGAATTAAACTTAGCCTTAACAATAGCTTAAACCTTTAATAACCGTAGGGACTATTTACTCACCATGATGTATCACTTTACTTTAGGGGCCACAAAAAGTAATAGTCAGAGAAATAATGAGAGACTATTTAGTTACTACTAAGTATATCAGGAGAAAGTACTCAGATTCTTTAAGTAAAAGTAACAATGTAAAATTACTCTAAGTATAAGTTCTGCATTCGAAATTCTGCTCAAATAAAAGTACTTAAATATGACCAGGAAAATGTCTTTAAAGTATCAAACGTTAAAAAATACTTCCCTTTCACAGTGTTAAATTATGGAGCCTCAAAGTCACAAAAGATGATTTTATTTTATTATAGTGTGCACGAAGATAATCTTTTGTTTCTGTGATTCTTTTGTGAAAAAGATTTACAACTTTATCGTTCTAAGTACATGATGACCTCAAGTAAATCCCAGCAGAGCTTCACACTCAACTCTACCTAATCAGCAACATAACTGAAAACACCTGTGTGGCTCTGTGGGGCCTTTAATCTATAACAATGCATCCTGTTTAATAAATTGCTATTAACTATTAACTATTGCAGTTAAATACATACAGTGGTGTTCAAAGAGTAGAAGTATAAAGTAGCATAAATTGGATAGTAAAGTACAATTTCCTTGTACTGTATTGCATTTAAGTACAGACCTTGAGTGAATGTGCACTAAAACGTTTTTTGTACAGTGTAGTGAAACCGTCTTCTGACTTTTGCTGATTGATGACTTTAATAACATCAGATTGTTTATAGGCCTTTTTAACAGAAGACATTTTCAATTCATTTCAGTTCAAATGTATTTGTATAGTGCCAATTCATAACAAAAGTTATCACAGGACACTTTCCAGATAGACCGTGCTCCTGTCAAACAAATTAAGACGGCTGAATTCCATTTAGCTGCTTCAGTTTCAGGGTCCTGGTTTTTAATGCTGGCTCGCTGTCTCCCTGTTATGGCTCACTGGTACACTAGAGAAGAGCCATCGTTAAAATTATTAGTAACACCTGTGTTTATCTTAGGTCACTGGGATGGTGTTTTATGAGCATGATGCTTATATAGGAATCTTTCAATAATGACCAGAAATTGCGACTATTTGGCCCCATGGCACTGCACCAGGCAGAGAAAAACCCAACAAGACACAGATGTCTGTGCCACCTAAAGTGAACGCTGGTTTCAGCCTGACCGGCCCAATGAGGATTTTGTGGCTCTGCCGTTGCTCTAACATTAACTCTTAGCTTAAAAATTTAAGTCTTAATCCTGAATTGGAAGGTGAGTCCTGAAATTGTGACTGTGAACAGATTTTTGGCCACACAATGTGGTTAATAAAAGTTCACAAAACACAGCTAACTAAACAGATTCAGACTGACTGACACACAGCGCTGGAATCTGAGAGTGAAACTAGTGCCTGAATGTGCTTTATCTCTGTCCATTCAACTCTTGCTCTCATACAAACACACCTTTTCTCTCTTTTCCCTTCTTTCCATATCACTCTCTGGTTCTTTTTTTGTATTTTCCTCTCAACACACACTCTCTCTCTCTGTCCCTCATTTTCTGTCACCGTTCATTAAACCACATCCTCCTCTCTGTTTATTGCTCTCCATCTCAACAGGTTGTCTATTTGAATAACCTGTTAGATGTCTGTGTGTGTGTGTGTGTGTGTGTGTGTGCGCTGTATTTGTGATTTTTACAATCAATTACAATTTTTACAATTTTCAAAGTTCACAGTGTGTCATGTGGCATTTACACAGTTGAGAAACAGTGTGACATGTACAGTTTACACCCTCGCAGCTCCCCTCCTCCTACCCACATCTCCTACTGCTAACAACAGCTGACCACTGCGTTTACATAAGCACATTACTGCAGATAACACCACATACATCATGGTCAAGGTCAAGATGCTCTACATTTTCACATCCTGACCACATCCCTGTATATATGAATAAACATGATAAGTCAAATCTCAATATGTACTAAGCAGAGGAAGGTACGGTATTTACAACATTTCTCAGATAATATGGACACCACCCAGCAGCTGGCCTTTACTACCATGAAATGTCAAAACTTGTACAGTAAAAAAAAAAAAAGTCTATTGACCATTCAGTTTTAATGACCAAGGCGAGTAATGACATTTCAGTCCCCACAGACTTGCTGATCGCAGTAAGTTGCCATGTGTGATGGAGTTTTTCACTGCAACACACTGGCTGTGCACATGTTAATAATAAACGCTCACACCAGTGCAAATGTTGAATGACTGACTTAATAGGGGTTGGCTATGTGTATATATTCTGTATACATATATATGTATGTATATATGTATATACTGTATATACAATATAATATTTTATATTCTGTGCTATATTGCTTTACTTTACTTCCACCTTATATTGTGTTTCCCATACTTCATTATATCATATGTTATACTGTTTTATTACATTATACACATTATATATTTATATTATATTTATATCTTAATACAAACAAACATATCCTTATTTAATCATATTTTATACTGTCTTTTACTGGTGTATTTTACTTTTTTTTAATCTTCCTCTGTATATATCTGTATTATGTCACTGTGCTGCTGCAACACCTGTATTTCCCCTCTGGGGATCAATAAGGACTTAATACAAACTGTATT